GTAAGATATATTTCTATATTCAACTTATTGTACATATTATTACCTCTTTGAGAGAATACAAGTGAGAGTAAGGTTCAAGAGATGCTCATCACCCACCCTTCCATTTTCCCCTCCATTGTAATAGGTCCTTAAAGCCTCTTCATATGCAATAATTGACCCCATTCCTCCTCTCCCTTCCCTCTGCACCCATTGCACTCCTGTTTCTCATCCCTTGCTTTTTTTAATGTCATTCCCTACAATTCACTTTACACCTGTACCCTCTGTCTATGTATATTCCTTCCATCTGTACTATTAATGATACAATTTTTTTTTTTTGCTTTTTGCTGGGCAGTCAGGGTTAAGTGACTTGTGCAGTGTCACACAGCTAGTAAGTGTTGTGTGTTGTGTGTCTGAGACTGGATTTGAACTCAGGTCCTCCTGACTTCAAGGCCTGACTTCAAAACCTCTATCCACTGTGCCACCTAGCTGCCCCTAGTGATACAATTTTAAAGAATTACAAATACCGTCATAGTCTAGCTCCATTGAATCCCTTATGTTTTCTTTTTCCCCTTTTACCTTTCTATGACCTCTATGGAGGTCAAATTTTTGGCTTGTATCTGGTCTTTTCCTTATGAAAGTTTGAATTCCCTCTATTTCATCGAATGACTATTTTCCCTCTTGAAGTGTTATGCTTAATTTTGCTGTGTAAGTGACTCTTGGTTATAGTTCTAACTCCTTTGCCTTCCAGAATGTGATGTTCCCTCAACTCTGATCCTTTAATGTTGCAGCTACCAAGTCCTGTGTAATCCTGATTGTGAATTCTCAATATTTGAATTGTTTCTTTCTGGCCACTTGTAGTGTTTTGTTTTGTTTTGTTTTATTGACCTAATATTTCTGAAATTTGTCTATAATGTGCCTTGGAGTCTTTATTTTGGGATCTCTTTCCTGAAGTGATTGGTGGGATTCTTTAAAGCCTATTTTGCCCTTTGGTTTCAGGACATCAGGGCAGTTTTCTTTGATAATTTTTTGAAAGATGCCGTACAGGTCCTTTTTTTGATGATGGCTTTCAGGTAGTCCAGTGATTCTGATATTGTCCCTCCTGGATTTATTTTCCAGGTCAGTTGTTTTTTCCATGAGGTTTTTTACATTTTTTTTCTATTTTTTTCAATTCTTTTGATTTTGTTTGACTGATTCTTATCATCTCATAGAGTCATTAGCTTCCACTTGCCCAATTCTAACTTTTAAGGTGTTGTTTTCCTCAATTAGTTTTTAATACTTTCTTTTCCATTTGGCTAATTGTACTTTTTAAGGAGTTGTTTTCTTCAGTGGATTTTTGTATCTCTTTTTCCATTTGACCAATTTTACTTTTTAAGCAGTTGTTTTCTTTTCTCAAGCTGTTGACTCTTCATAATTCTCTTGTATCACTCTCATTTCATTCCTCAACTTTATTCTACCTCTCTTATGTGATTTTAAGCTCCTTTTTGAGGTGTTCCATAAGTTCTTTGTGGGCTTGAAATAGCTTCTTATTTTCCTTTGCAGTTTTACCCATAGGTGTTTTGACATTGTTGTTCTCTTCTGAGTTTGTGTCTTGGTCTTCCTGTCACCATAATAACTTTCTATGGTCAGATATTTTTTTTTGTTGCTTTGTGCTCATCTTTTTGTGGGGCCTTCTTCCTTTCTTGTAAATTTGATCTCTGCTCCCAGCATAGAATGGGCTCTGTCTTAGGCTTCTTTTGTCAGTGGCCGTAAGCCCTGGCTATTTATCTGGTGCTACACTGATGTTGCCCTGAGGCTCATAGGGTACTCTCATATCTGGGGCTGTGTTGAGGAGGTGGCTGGTGCTGCTGGAGGTGTCTGGCAGTTTACCTGGTGCTGAGCTAGGGTCCTAGTGCTAGTTTCTGACAGGTTCTGAGGCCCACTCGTGTTTTTCTGGGTTTCCACGGTGCTACACTGAAGACCACGGAGGTCTGCCTGGCCACTGGTTGGTGCCTGTTTTCCCCTGGGCTGTGCTGAAGTATGTGGAGGTCATGCTGCTGGACCACCTGTTTGCCTCTGGCTATGCTTAAGTATGTGGTGGTTCTCTAAGTTGGAGTCTACTGGTTCCCCTGGCTATACTGAGGCACATGGGGCATCCTGGTGGCATTTGCCTGCTCCACCACACTGAGACTCAAGATCACCCACTGGTTTGCCAAGGTGGGGCTTGTTGGATGCTTCCTGTCCTGGAGTGCACTCCCCTTTTTACCTGAGTGAGACACACCTTTATTGCTGATTCTCCAAGTCTCCCAGGCTAAAAGACCACTGAATTCCACCTTCCTACTGGCTCCACTGTTCCAGGATTTATTCTGGGGAGATATTTTATGGCTATTTGGAAGTAAATATAGAAGAGTTACAGCAATTTAATGATTACTCTTCCATCTTGGCTCCTAGAAGTCTATACTCTGTATACAATTTTTAATGTCATAGAGGAGGAAAAAAATGTTAGTCAAATGAACAGATTTTATGTTTTCTGTGTATTACAAATATAGACATTTTACAAGGATGGCAGGTAAGGAGTATGATAGTGACTTCCTGTTGCAAACAACCTAGCCCAGAAATTTTATGGTAAAGGTTAAGTGGTAGCTTTGCTAAACAAAAATGTCTGGATTCAGCAGCAAAACAACATTTAATCCCTGAGGAAGATTTGATTTTTCCCCTGTGATGCTAAAGAATAAGTAGTTTATAGGGATGATTGCTTTGGTTTTTTTTAACTACCAATAAATTAGTATATGATTTAGGTTTTTTTTTTCTATGCAGCTATTATAATCTCTAGGCTTCTATCTTAACTATCATTTTAAATGAACAATTGAATTTCCTCAAAGAAAGACCAGTTCCATCTTCCCTTCAAAGTTCTAGAGGTATTCCCAGAGGGCAAATGTTTTCTTTCTAAAATTATACAATCTAGCCCGCATTCCACTGTTTTCTCTCCTATGTCAATAGACAGTGCCAGATAATACCTACTCAATATGATCTAACCAGCACTTAGCACTCCAGTTTCATTTAACCAATGAATATCATTTGGCTTCTTCAAATCTAATTTACTGAAAAGATGTAGTTGGTAGTGAAGTACAAACATTACTTTCCAATACTCAAGGATACATTCTGTGCTATGCCATCAAATGTACTTCAGAATATGTCATAGCCAATGAACAATTCATTTACTCTTGGCTGCCTTCAATCCACTACTATGTGGAATAAAGAAGAGCACTTGGGGCTTTACTCCTTAAAAAGCTTGGCTTTTTACAGTCTCTAGCAAGAACTTCCAGCACTGGACCTTGTTGGCCCACTATCAAAACTTTTCAAAGCTCACAAAGTTGCATGCTAAAGTTAAAGGAACAAACATTTATTAAGCACCTGACATGTGCTGGGAACTCTGCTAAGTGCTTTACAAATATTAGCTCATTCAATCCTCACAACTACCCTTAGGAGGTAGATGTTCTTATTGTTCCCATTTTATAGTTGATTGAACTGAGGAATATAGAGGTGAAATAAGAAGACTGGAAAGGTAGGGATGATTTTATTTTTAATCCCAGAAGTAATAGGGATACAATTGAGTTTATTGAATAAAGAGTCAGGTCAGGCCTATACTTTAGGAAGATCACTTCAACAACTTAATGTAGGATGGACTAGAACATGGAGTGAAGTGAGTTAGGAAACCAACCAGAGGGCTGCTTTTAAAATTATTAGTGTCTAAATTACTTCTTATTTTGATGTTTGCTTCATTTAAAAATAAATAGTATGTCTTCCTTTTTTGATGTTTTCAATAAATCAACAAACTAAGTTTATATTAGTCCTACAACCACTGTCACAGATCATAACACCTTTAAAACTTCACAGGAAGTTGTAGAGAATGGCTTTGGCCAAAATATTCATCACACTCAGGCCAACCTTGGATTCAGTGTCTCCAAAGGCTGAACCTCAGATGACAGATGCTCATTCTACCTCCATGTCTTAGCTCAAAATCTGGTGAGAATAAATGAAAGCAAATATTTCTTTTCATAGACTTTGAGAATTCATTGTCATCTCTACATTGTAATGAAGCAGTGGTCAATGAACTAGCCCTTCTTAAGTGTGTGCCAGGCATTGTGATAATAGATGGGAATACAAAGAAAGATAAAAAAAAAAACAGTCTTGAGGAAGCCACAGTTTAATGGGAGAGACAACATGTAAACACTCATAAACAAATGAGATATATACACCCTAAATTGGGGGTAAGTCTCAAAAGGAAGGCATTAAGATTAAAACTGTGATAGTTCCCACAGAATGAATATATTGGGAGAATGGAGAAGATTTTGGGGAATATTTGATTTGTGTTTCTATTTTTATTTACCTTGATTATTCTTTAAAATGTGTGATTATAGTTTCCCCCAGGATAAGAAAATGTTTAATTTTCTTATCATCAATGAAAACATTGTCTTGTACACAGAATAGACATTACAAGTATATATAGAAAATCAATTTCTTTTTTTTTAATTTTGATCACTTTTTTTCCCATACTCCCTGCTTTCCCCCTCTCACTCTGGGAACTAATCATATTAGTATTTTAATGCAACCATGGCTATTGGGAAGGACACATCATTATATTGTTCTATGGTTCCATTCAGCATACCTTTCACCTCATCCTTCACTATCATTCCCCTCTATGTATTCTCACCTCCTATTGGAATGTAAGGCCTTGCAAACATAGTCTGCTTTTTCTGTTTTTTTCTTTTGTTGTTGTTGTGGTGGTGGTGGTGGTTGTTTTGTATTTGTTTAATCAGTACTTAGTATAGTCCTTGACATATGGAGAGTGACTAATAAATCTTCCATTCTAAAGCCCAAAAGATTTAAATAATTTTTATGGTTAAGAAAATCTAGCTCTCTTCCAGTTTTATTTTATACTATTTTCCTTTTTACATTCACCATTGAAGTCAAATAGGCCTAGCTCTTCTCCACATGCAGTAGTGCATCTTCCACCTCTTTGCCTTTGCATAAGTGGTTTCCCGATGTTGGCAATGCATTCCCTCCTTACCTCTTCCTCAAAGCTCCCTTCAAAGTATAGCTCAGTTGCCACCTCCTAACTGAGGCTTTTTCTTATTTCCAAGTTATTTATAATGCCCTCACCTTCTTGAAAATGCTTTCCATTACTTTCTACATATTTAGTATTTATTTATATGTGTACATATTATATCACTTGATTCCCTCAGTAAAATGTATAATAGAATGCATCTTTGCCAAGAAAACCTCAAATGGAGTCATGAAGTTTTGGACATGACTGAAATAACAGAACAACAACAACGACAAAAGAATGTACAAACTCAAAAGTAAAATCTTATTTTTTTTTTCCTTAACAGACGACATAAATTGTACTTTAGAAAGGTTGTAGGAAACAATTGAATTCAAAGATACAATCAGGTAGACGTTGGGAAACGTTGCTATTTGAAAACTCAAATTCATTAAAAATAAATTATTATTCTTTTCAATGATAGTAATATTTCATTGTAATAAACATGGAATATTGAGCATTTTAAAAATACAACAAATGGACAATTTATCATAAATTCTTCATTGTTATATCCTAAATAGTTATACTTTTCCACAGACATTTCCACTGGGCCTAGGAGATGGACAGCTCTATACATGGACAGATGGTTTGAAAAGAAAAGATTGGCATGACTATGGAAGCATTCAAAAAGATGCGCTGCGTTCAGGTAAGAAACTCTGAGTGAGCCAAAATGATGCGTTACCTATTCCTTTTTTTTTTTTTTTTCGCTTTAAGGTTAACTAATCCAAGTAGTCATTTGGCATACATTGAGATATGCCTTAAGGGGATAGTCAAAGGCAATGGCAGATAGAAATAGGCTTGCTAAAGTTTCAGAGAGTAGTGATAAATATATATAGAAATGGTCATATGATACTTGCCACAAAGTCTTCATAATCTATATACCTATAGAATCTCAGAATGATAGAATATGAATGAACTTCAAAAGTCAGTTAGTCCAATCTTTTCAATAAGTTGATCAACTAGCATTTTTACTAAATGTTTATTATGATCCAGACATTGTGCTGTTGTTCAATCATTTTCTGTCATTTCCAACTTCTTGTGACCTCATTTGGGGTTTTTGTGGCAAAGATACTGTAGCATTTTGTCATTTCCTTCTCCAGCTCATTTTATAGATGAGGAAACTGAGAAACAGGATTAAGGGACTTGCCCAGGGTCACACAGTTATTAAGTGTCTGAGGCCAGACCTAAATTCAGAACGATGAGTCTTCCTGCCTCCAGGATCTGCACTTTATCCACTCTGCTACCTAGCTGTCCTGACACTGTGCTAACTCTTTACAAATGAGAAATTTGATGCCGAGAAAGTACAGATCATTTACTCAAATTCACACAACTAATATTTTGGAGAATTGCCTCGTAAACCTTTTGATTCCAAGTTGTTTCCTCTGTGTGGTATGTTTTCTCTATATAATTTCTCTTAGCTAGACCTGTGTTTTCAGTGATGTTGCAGTCTTCCAGTGAGGAAACTTCTACCAATGCAGATAAGCCGTTGTTCTGCTCTTGATAGTTGTTTAGTTACCTATAGCGCTAAGAGGTTAAGTAACTTGGCTAAGGCCACCAAACCATTATGTGACAGGGATAGATGTTAAAGACTTCCTAACTCTGGACAATTTTCCATTGGTTCTGTCATTTATTGTCTCTTCAAGTATGGTATAATATACAGTCCTCCATTATGATTTATTTATAATGATTTATTAGGAAGTAAAGTGATATAGTAGCCAAGCTTCTTAAACTGTGGGTTGAACTGTAAGTGTAAAAAGTTTAAGAAGCCTTGTGGATACTGTACCAGACTTACAGTGCATATGGACCTTGGTTCAAATCCTGCCTCAGACATTGGGCAGTAATGCTCTACATTACCATATACTTTCAGTCGCCTGTATCCATGTTATTAATTCCTGTAGTGAGCAGCTTGATTCAATGGCCAAGTCACAGTCCCTAGAATCAAAAAACCTTGGAATTTGGTTTAAATTCTGCCTCTAATATTCACTATCTGTGTGTCCTTGGGAAAATTGTTTAAGGCCTTCCCACTTGACCCAGTTACTTTAGCTGTAAATCCAAAGGATAAAACTAGACTGCCTCTAGTCCAAAGAATGCAAGGACATGAGGACAAAAACAATATGATCTGAAATCTTTGTATTTAGTACAGTATCTTGCACATAGTAAATATTTTAAAATATTGGTTAAATTGAGACTCTACCTCGTACTGCCTCTGGAGTAAGATTAGGAACAGATCACATGTGTTAGGTAGCAATGGTTTGAGGCGAACAAGGACTATGGGAGAAAGGATATTTAGTAACCTTTAGCAACTGAAAGGAAAGGAGGTAAGCAAACTTTTACTGAGGATCACTGTTTTGGAGTGACCACTAAATGTAAAATATAAAAAAAAAATATGGTTGGGCAGTTATAAGTCAGTGATTAACCAAATGCTACAGTTGATGTCACCATGGCAAAAGGTGAGATTATTGATTCACCTTTTTAGATGTAGTCTGAGATTCTACTAGCTTTCTTTTCAGATATGTAACACTATTGGATACATTGAATTCATTGCCAACTAAAGCCTTCAGGTCTCAACCTAGGGTACATGGACTCCTGGGTCATAGATAAATTTCAGGGGGTCTTTGTCACACGAATTGCTATCAGGGCCTAATACCATTGAGCCTATATGTAGGACTTGACAATCATTTATGTTAAATTTTAACTTTTTAGTATTAAAATAAATTCTAGCCTTTCAAGGGCATTTTGAATCTTGATTCTGCCATCCATTGTATTAGCTATTTTTCCAGCTTTGTATCATCAAAGTTGACTGTCAACTCATCTAAATTTTCATTCACAAATTAGTCAAGTAGTTTGTCCTAGTTCATGTAAAGATATTAGAGGTAGAGCAAAGACTATACCCCAGATCCAGGAGAGAGGTAATTCTATCTTCTGTGAAGTATATGAGAGCAATTAATCTGCAGTCAGAGGAACTAGATTTTAATCTCAGCTCTTATGGGCAAGTCACAACCACACTATGATTCAGTTTCATCATCTGTAAAATGACGGATTTGGACTATATCAGAGATCCTTCATGTTTTTGATGGTTTCATGGACCCTTCTGATAATCTGGTTAAGTCTACGAGTTGTTTCTCAGAAATATATATATATATATGTAAATGTATGTATATATGTATATTAAAGAAAAAATGTTAAATTTCAGTTACTAGTTAGTGAAAATAAAGAAGCATTTTTTCCTATCTAAATTCAGCCTATTCCAAATACAGACTCTCTTGTAATTGGAAATGATAGGGGAATAAAGTTCATTGGTAATGCTAAACAAAGCCATTTCTGTAGAATGGGGTGATTGGGATCCAGACTGCAAAGTGAAGAAGTAATGAACTACAGGAATGAGGCCCACCAAAGGTCACACAGGTATTAAATGGCAAAGCCAGGATTCAAACCCATCTTCTTATTCAAAATCCAATACATTACTGCTAGTGCAATTAATTAAATGTGTGTTTAAATTAAATGTACATTTATTAGTTATCTTTGTTTTGAAATAACAAATAAGATAAAGAAGAAAATTATAAAATACCTTTAAAAACATTTTATAGGAGTAAATAGAGCCCTGTCCTTCAAAGAAAATGTAAATATAGCCAGAGTTTGATAATTTTTCCTTCCTTCCTCCAATGTTTCCTTCTTTTTTGTTCTTTTGTCTCTCATTCCTCTGCCTATCCTTGGTATTTCATCTCCTTACACAAATATAGATAAACATGGTGAAACTAGCCTTTTCAAGGTTTGAGTCCATGATTCCCCTTTTAAAAAGTCAACTGGTCTGTCCCTGTCCCTGTCTTGCCCTGTGCCACCCTCTACCATCAGACAGAGCTCATGATAGGGGGTAAGGGAGGATCAGGAGGACCAATAGGGGGACTTTAAGGTTAGTCACTTTCCTCTTAAAAAAAAAAAAGACAGGCTGTCAGTCTCAGTGTGAATATCCTATTGCTTCACAAAGGAAAACCATCTGAGGTAATTTCTTCACATGAGTCCTTATCTTACCTCTCTCTTCAACTTCACTAAGATCAAAATCTCATATATTAAAAATGAAACGGAACCCACGAGACCTTAATCAGATGACAAAGAGAATAAAACATGTTAAAAGTACTAACTTCTTTTCTCTGCTTTTGAGATGAGTATGACCTTAGTTATGGATGTCCTTAATCCTTAGCTTCCTTGAATTTTTGTTTCCTTGTAAAACTAGTTAATAGGTGACAAAAGTTTGGATTTTGTCCCAGTATTCACAATGATATTTACTAAGTATATTATCTGGGGTGTAGAATGTAACAAAATCTTTGTATTTATTTTTTGGTGAACCAAAGAAAACTATTAATAGAAGAGAAAGTAATTCTTGTCTCCTTTTCCTTTTCTACTATGTTTTCAACAGCTTGTCTCTATCTCCTCTCTTCCCTTGCTTCTTTCAAATATTATATAAAATTATACCTTCTGCAAGAAGCCTTCCCAGATCCTTCTTCAAACTAGAACCTGCCCTCTGAGATTACCTCTAATTTAGCCTGTATATATTGTTTGTGCATAGTTACTTGCATGCTGTCTCCCATATTGGAATATGAGATCCTTGTAGACAAGGACTATTTTTGCCTTGTTTTATGTTACTAGTGCTTAGCATAGTTCCTGGCACAAAATGAATACTTAAATAAATGCATGTTGACTTTATTGGACTAACATCAATAACAGATGTTGGATGAGGCATTTTATTTTTTGCTTTTTGGTGAAGCAATCAGGGTTAAGTGACTTCACCAGGGTCACACAGCTAGTAAGCGTCAAGTGTTTGAGATCACATTTGAACTCACGTCCTTCTGACTCCAGGGCCGGTGCTCTATCCACTGTGCCACCTAGTTGCACTGGGTGAGGCATTTTAAAATAGTTTCCCATCTTCCTTTCCCAATAACAAGAGAAAAGGGAATTAATCAATCACAAATATTTATTAAGGACCTACTAGGTGCCACAAAAAAAAACCAACTAGAATCAGACCCAGTAGTCATGAATATTTTTAATATCAAAAGTTATTGGGACTCCATTTCTTTTATTGTGTTTTGTTGGTGAAGAGAAAGGTTCCATTAATTCAATTCTCAAGTTAGTTTTCTAAATGCTTATAATGCTTAACCATTCCATGTATCAGATTCACATATGCAAATAGTGTATGTGTTGCTTTATCTAGGTCATATTTTTGGTCAAAGAATATGCAATATTCAGTATCTTAAAATTATTTTATTGGTACACTAGACATTTAGTTTTTAATCTCATCTATTTTTTAGAAAAATATGAAATGCTAAAAAACAAAAGAAAACAAAACATGAACTACTAGGTTTTAAACTCCTTGAGGGTAAGTATCATTTATTATTTATTGTGGCATCTTCCTCAGGGGCTATCCTACTTTGCAAATAATAGATACTTCACAAAAGATTTTTTTCTTTTCTTTTTAAATGAAAGTGGTCTGGAAACCTCTTGTACAGGACTTGTTGGTTGATAAGAACATAGTGTTCAGCAAAACGTTTTAAAATTCTTTGGTGATACAATTGCTATTTTCTTTTTATAGGAAAAGTATTTCTGCCCAAAGTTGCTGTATAAAATTCATATATATATATATATATATATATA